CCTCCACCGGAGGTCGCACAGGACGCGGTCGCTGGATCCTTCCCGTGAATCTCTCAACTCATCTCTGATTGAGAGACCTCCTCTGAGATCCACGGGAAGGATCCAGCGACCGCGTCCTGTGCGACCTCCGGTGGAGGTTGCAGACGGCTAATGCACTTGCCACCTGTTACAACTCTGGGCAGCCGGAGAACCGGCTGAAAAAATTATGAACTCCTCACAAAAACTCCAAAACCCTGTACCTCCTCCGAAAAAAATCGCAGCCACTAGCTCGAGAGGTCAATTTAAGCGGAACAACCATCCCCATCAAGCTGAAAAAGTGATGAACTCCTCACAAAAACTCCAAACCCTGTGTCTCCTCCGAAGAAAATCGCAACCACTAGCTCGAGAGATCAATTTAAACAGAACAACCTTCCCCATCATGCTGAGAAAGTGATGAACTCCTCACAAAAAGTCCAAACCCTGTGTCTCCTCCGGAAAAAATCGCAGCCACTAGCTCGAGAGATCAATTTAAACCGAACAACCTTCCCCATCAAACTAGCGTGGCGTAGAATATTAGGGACGTGTCATACTTTGTAATATACACGTAGAAAACCATATATGTTATATGGCGTATTATAGCTACCCAACCCTGCCGTTGATTCAGGAATAACGAGGAAAGGATAGAATTCAGACTACATTATATAATCAAATTCATTATCTTGGTAAAAGACTTGACGTCGACCATTGCGATTTGAATTGCGAGTAGTTTCGCGCGTCAGGCTGCGCCTGCGCATTACTCCCGCGCTAACATGCCGCCCTCTGTGGGTTGAAGCAGGAAACGCATCGAGATGTCGCTGCTATTGCGATTTCCGCATGCGGTATGCGCGGTCGAGCCGCCGCACTACACCCAACCGAGAGTGGAAAGATTAGAAATTAGTCAGAGCCGTATTCATGGTTACATCAACCAGTAGATAATTGTTAATTATTGTAATATAATATTCTAATTAATTAATAATAGTCGTAATAATGATCTTGCTCGAGATAAACAATAGAATATTAGAAGAATCGTTAAGTAATAAAATTAAAAATGCCTTGGCTGGGTGAGTAATAAGACTTTTCTGCATTTATCCGCGGCTCTCTTGCCCTGCTTATGTTTTTTTATCTAATCGCGAGGGGTTCCTTCTTTGGGGTGGCAACCGCCCGCGAAATTGGAACTTCTCACCTCAGCGATTCGCGATTCCAATGAGCACTTCTTCCTTGCTTCCACAGACCTTTCCTGAAAGTCCATTATCATTCCTGCGATATGAAAATGACAGCAGTTGCCGTTCCCTATATTAACCTCTCCCTGTTAACGTTATCTTTCCTGTATCTTAATGGGATTTGTCGCCTCACCAATGAAGTATCTGTATCTGGATTTGCGAAGCACTGTGACTATTTCCGTAGAGCGATGATAACTTCTCGATAAATGAGTTCACTCTTTTACAAGACATGAATACATTTCAGAGCATCAAAACGAGCGAATACTCTCTTGCAGTTGTCATCGCTCTAACTTGACGATTTGCCTTTCCTCGCAAAATTGCTTGGTGTCTATTTTTTAATGACAGAAAGATAGGGTGGTCAGGAAAAGTGCATCTTCCCGCTCTTCGTTATGTAGAAGAGATTTTCACTCTGTCCTTTCGTGCTTATGTAAATCGTGTATGTTGTATGCTATTAGTTAAGGTTTTTTTATGGAAAACGTACCTCTTAATTACAGTCATAAGCCAGAGTCGATGGATGTCGTAATTGCCGACTTCGATGGAGTGTTATTCCACATTTCCAACTTAAATGGGGACAAGTCAAAACTTAGAGTAAGTAGATAAGAAATAAGACTACAGAGTAATTACCTGTAGAAAGAGTACAGTCTATATGTAACCGATGTTTTGAATTTTATGTGCATATGTTTGAACGATAACACTGTTTTCAGATAAGTATTTTGCTCAAATTTTATAAGCAGTTGCAAGAACACGGAGCCGATGAGTTGCTTCGGCGTGTGTATGGTTCATACCTTGTCGACCCCGAAAGTGGTATGTTATAATTATCATGTCGACAAAAAATGTGAATGCTTGTTTGTAAAAATGTTCCGTTGTAGGATACAACGTTTCGGTGCTGATAGACCTTGAAAATCTGCCAGAGGACTGGGAAGTCTTGGTGAAAAAATTGGGCCTCCTAAAGAGGCATTGCTTTGCCAGTGTTTTCGAGAAATACTTTGACTTCCAGGAAGAATGCTTGAACTCGCCAGATGAGAGCACCAAGAAAACACAGAAGAGGGCAGTGATTCAATATCGAGACCAAGAAACTATGTAAGGCTTCCTTTATTCTTAACCCTTTTGTCCCTTAGGACGAGATAACTCGCAATATTGTTTTATACCATTATATATATTGCCAGTTATTAGCTTTTATGACGGGACATTTTGCAACCCAGTACTTTTTTTTACTGGATAATCCTGAAGACTTATGCATCTTTTAAAAAGTTAGACATTCTTTCGAGAGGTTATTTTCCATTTTTTATACACATATAAACATTCAGGTTTTAGATTATGGACAATATTAACTCGCGAGATAGTTAAATAGTCGGCATAGTCAATATCGTCAATATATATAGAAATCTCGTCAAAAACGTTAAGGTGATATGAAAGAGGCCGAGAAATTTAATCGACGTCGATAAAAAGGATTTCTCTAACTCATTACCTTCTAAAACAGTTGCTAACATTTATATTTATATCAACAGCTGTGTTGTGCTACGTTGAGTATTTTACAAAACGGCATACCCCATATGTCATTGGGTATAATAATTACAAACAGTTCACAGTAAAACTCGATAAATCCTTTCGATTCATGATCTTTTATATTCTAATCGACCAACAGTGCCATCAATAGCATTCAGAGGCAACTTATTGTTGGACCAATTAAAACAAACTTATTGTTGGATGTTTGGTTGAATCTCTGTTACTTCAAACATTAATTACATCCATTTTTTTATTCAGGTATGTCGAAGCAAAATCCGACAGAGTAACAGTTGTATTTAGCACGCTATTCAAAGACGAAGACGATGTAGTAATAGGGAAGATGTTCCTCCAAGAGTTAAAGGAAGGCAGGCGAGCAAGTCACACGGCGCCGCAAGTTTTGTTCAACCATCGAGAACCACCTTTGGAATTGCAAGACTCCGATGCTGCAGTAGGGGATCGAGTTGGTTACATAACTTTCGGTGAGTTTTCTGCTGGGATTACTGCAACTCACTGAACGTATTTTCCTCTACATCTGGTAGATAACACACCTTCACCTGGAATCTAACGATAAATATAAAATGATAAGATTAAGGTGATATGAAAGGGTCATCTATATATGTAAAACGTCGAAATATTTATAAGCCTTTTCTTCAAACTGGATGCACCGAATCGTTGGAAACTGTATCATGTGATTATGAAGACCCTATGGAAGAACGTGGTGCTAGTGAAATTTCATTTTTCAAAAGAAATATGTGTTCTTGGTTCTGGTGTGGGATAAATAAAAAAATTTTGTATTAAAAATGAAATTTCATGAGCACTACGTTCTTCCTTAGGGCCTCCATAATCACGTGTTAAAGTTTCAGATAATTCGGTGCACCCAGTTTGAAGAAAAGTTTTATGAATATTTTGACTTTCTGTTATGTATATATCACACTTTTATATCACCTTAACTGCGTGGGTGAGTTTTCGGCTCACGTGGTACATTCGTTTACTCCTTCCATTACAAGGTGAAGTTTACACATACATGATCTGAAATCTGATTGGGTTCTATCTTTTTACACGTACACAATGCATACTAATTCATTGATTTTCGAATTTACCCCTTCCATTGTAATGCGAGGTCTAGATATCTAGTCAAAGAATTCAGAAGTCTCCATAGAAGCCCAGAAGAATACGGACGTTCGATGCGCGACAAATAGTACGTTAGCCAACGGATGGCGGCGCTGTAATCATCTCTCCAGCTCTTTTAATCTTATGACGGTATATAGCGGCTTGAATTCTTTCTTTATCTTACACACTGTACTCGCCTTTCTATATGCGTTTCTCTTTCTCCCGTATGTGAGGTCGTGTCCGAATTCGTCAAAAGTTGCATCTAGGGTATACTAGCTCCGTACTAACTCCGTCCTCTGTTATTCATGCGCATGCGTCAAAACGGAGATAAGTTGCGACGATATAACTTTCTCGCAACTTTTTCCGCCATCTTGGAACTCTGGGTAAGCGAAATCTGTCGAGGGTGAACACCGCGCATTCTCAAAAATAATGACACTAATTAGGCAAGCGGGGTGACTGTTAATTTTGTACATTTTGTACATTGTTAGATAAAATAACTAAATATATTATGCCGGCACAGACATAACGAGGACGATTTTAACAGCAATCAAAAATTCATTTAAAATCGGCGCGCATTAAGCCGACATTCTTTTGCGCATGCGCATAGTATGTATGTAAGAGATGTTTGAGTTTCAAGTATTTAGTACATAGAGTAGTATGTGGGGTGTATTATTTACTAAAGCGAATTCAGACACGACCTAAGACACCGTTGGCTAACACATGCGATCTCTCTTTTACTCCCTCTTCTGGTTTGTTAGCAAACTTTTAGAGCATCAAGCGCTAACATAGGATCTAGGCTTCTGTGGGACTTCTGAGTTCTTTGCTATAGAAAGGGCTTTACTGGACTGTTTAGGGAAAATTATTATATAATTCATCAATTGACTCCAGACGGTAGAGGAATGACATTTGACTTTGCGGAATAAATGTTATCTTTTTGAACAATGGCGATTGATACCCTTTTACTAAACTTTATTGTGTCCCCTTACAGTTCTTTTTCCACGGCATACGAATAAGGAGGCTCGTAACAATACTATCGACCTGATTCATATGTTTACAAACTACTTGCACTACCATATTAAGTGCAGTAAGGTGTACATCCATTCGCGGATGCGTACTAAAACTACAGAATTTCTGAAGGTATTGAATAGAGCACGAGCCCAGCAGAAGACTATGGAGAAAAAGACTATCACGTAAGATTTGTCTATTGGTTGCGTTTTTTCGATTTTATTCATGTTAATGTATTAAGGTGACAGGAAAATCGCGTCTCAGAAGTCTCGTTTATGACTTTTCTCCGGACTGGGTGTATCGAAATAATTTGAAATTTGAACAATTGAATATGGAGGCCCGAAGGAAGGTCTCGATACCCATAAAATTTCATTTTTTTAATTTGTTTATGCTAATTTTGTTTATAAAAAATGAATTTTAAGGGGTATCAGAACCTTCCTTAGGCCTCTAAATGCACGTGGTAAACTTTCAAATAATTTGATACGCCTGGTTTGGGGAAAAGTTTCTGAAAACAATTGTTTCCTCAGATGCCACTTTCATTTCGCCTTAACTTTCTGTAACCCAATTGTTTTTTTTTTTTTTTTTCGAGCCAAGGAAACGTCGACATAACATGAAACTTGCAATTAACCTTCTGATATTATCTGTTTGTTTGTAAACTTATAATGTATGATTTATAAACGAATTTCTTGATATTAAGATAAAGTGAAATGCGTCGAGAAATTTGATCAACATCGATAAGAAAGATTTTTCTAAATACCTACGTTAACCACGTTCGTATTTATGCTGTCAATATATATACAAACGTTGGCAAGGTAGATATTTTAAAAAATCTATTTTGCCGACGTCGATCAAGTTCCTCGACGTGTTTCACTTCACCTTAAGCTACATCCAAAAAATTAAAAGAAATTTAACATATGAGAACGTGACTTCCAAATCAGATGGCGTTACAGAGGGTAACATTACTTTAACCGTTCGGTTAATTCTGGATAATAGCCTCAGAGTTTAACCCTTTGCACTCGAGAGGTGATTGTCAGTCACCATTTGGTTTGATGTGAGTTTAGAGATTTGGTCAGTTAATTCTTATATTCTGTATAAGTCAATAAAAAATGCAGAGAAAGAAATAATCGTTTAGTCATCTGCAGGATGGAAAAAATATTGGTGGACCAATTGAGAGGATATTTCCGCCAGATTTGTTATCGAGCTTCTACTTCGACTCATCGTTTCGACAAAATTCAATTGAATGGAAAGCTACCCACTGAACACCGAACCTAACAGTTACGTAACTTAAAACTAACAAATAACATAACGTTTGTTACAACGTAATAACCTAATAATTACGTAACATAGAGCTAACTAGTTAAATTACATTTGTTACTATCATATTTATATAAAAGAAGATAATGAAATATGATCCATAATTACATAGTATTTTATTTTGTATTATTTTATGGCATTTGGCAATAGTTAGATATTAAATAATGAATCAGACTTTAAATTAAATTATGTAAATGATGAACTGTTTGATTTTACTTAAAGACTGATTTCATTCGACAAGCAAATAATTACTGATAATGTGCATGCGAGTATGAATTAAAATCACATTTTTTCATACGAGTAGTAAACAAAATGTGACATATATTAATCATATGAAATTTGACAATGAATTATGACAATGACGATGACGATGATGTAATAAAATAGGTGACAGCACCAATGTAGTTCTGTTTTCTTACAAATATGTGCTGCATATACACAGTTATATCAGGACAGTTACATAATGTAAGATAAGAGTAACAAAGTTACGTTACATTTATATGGATATGATAGTAACAAATGTTATGTAACCTGTTAGCTCCATGTTAGATAACTGTTAAGTTACTGTATTGTAACAAATGTCATGTAACTATTTAGCTCTATGCTACGTAACTGTTACGTTATGACCTTGTAACAATCGTTAAGTTATTTGTTAGTTTTAAGTTATGTAACTGTTAGGTTCGGTGTTCAATGAGAATTGCCCCGACAAGCCGAGGATGCATCATGGCGATTGTTTTATAAAATACCATACAAAGCAACAATACAGACCTTAATATTTAACAAATTTTCTTCTTTCACCTGTAAGGATACATAAAATATTAAAATATAATAGTTTTAAACGTTAATTTGTNGACTCGAGTGCAAGGGCTAATATGTATTCCTATGGAAGGATACATGAAATATTAAAATATAATAGTTTTAAACGTTAATTTGTACGTGAAATCATGTTAAGTTAGCTGTATGAAATTCCCCAAGTCTGCGGAAAATCGTCTCGAGTTGCTGACTCGTCCGGGCAAAAAAGGCCTCAAGTGTAAAGGGTTAAAATGTATCTAGTACTCGAGGCGTATCTACATTTACCATACTATTCTAGATTTAGATTGCTCCTGGCAATGAAATGTCATTATCAATTTCTTTTTCAGGGGTAGAACGTTCATCAGGAAGGAATGAGTTCAGCCTGTCGGGCCAGGACCTTTGGAAGAATGAAAGAATTCGGAGATAATGGAGGGTGTTATTCGTCCACGTCGGACCATCGTTAGAAATTTGACACTTTTCCATGGAAGTACCTTTTCATGAGGTGGCACACTGACCCTTAGGATTAGCGAGCTAAGAGCTTCCCATCAGAGATGATCAGCGATGTTCCACGCCATTGTCGAAAGGGAGGCACGGCTCCCTAGCGCCATGGAACTGCTTTCAACTAGGGGAAATGTTCTCTATCGGTAAAAAGGACCGCGTCTGCAGATTCTAAACACGGCACAGTAGCGATGGAATGAAGTTATCGGCTTTTTGTTTTTAGAATCAGGGTCAACGTAGGTTGGGAAAGAAGACTACGAATACCAAATAATGTTATGCGTGGATAATTGAGATTACGACGACCCTGTTTTACCGATCACGAAGATTTCCCCCCTTTGAAAGTAGTTCCGATTTTTCCAGAGGTGTAAAGGGAGTAGAGGGCGCTAGGGGGCTGTGCCTTCCTTTCAATCAATGGCGTGAAACATCTTCCTGCTCGTCTCTGTTCCCACACTCGACAGTCAAGAATTTGCACTTGTCCAGCGGTACAGGATACAGAAAAGGGCATCGAGTCGGGCCACTATTTTTAATTCAATGTTCATCTCCGAATAGCGTACGTCAAAGTGTCCATCTGAAGTTGCTAAATGCGATTATTCGGTCGCGGATCACTCGAGTTAACTGACAGACATGAATGGATATTCGCAAACACGGTATACGAAATTAAGAATGATCCGACAACCGACTCTTGGTAGATGGGCCCTTGCGATCACGTTAACATAATTCGGTAATTATGCATAAAAGGCTGATCTTCTTCCATTTTTGTATAATTCTGATATATTGTAGAGGACGTCCCGAATATTTTCATACATATATTTAAGAATATGTGAAAGGCGCTGAGAAATTTCAATCGACGTCGATTAATTAAAATTCATCTACACCCTTTTAGGTGGTAACGCCATTTTGAATACTCAAGTGATAATGTAAGCTGGCGCGCCACGTTATCAACATTTATATTTATATTTATATTGAAGTATGTTACTCTCTATGTTGATAATTGTACGAAGTGAAGCGTTGCATATACCATTTCGGTAGAATAATTGTAAAGAAATCGAAGGAAAACTGTCGAAATGAAAATACTCGGGACGACGTCCTCTACAATGTATCAAAGTTAGGCGAAAATCGGATCACCCTTTTATGCATAATTGGCCATAATTCTTCATGTTGCCGCTACATGGAATGTAATCTGGTAAAAAAATAATAATTTCTACGATTGGTTATCGGTAAGAAGCTATTAAACGACATGGATAAGACGTAGATGAGAAAATTCGACATCTCACTGTAAGAAACGTCCTTAGATGGTGACATGGTTACTAAATTATACCTTTTGAGCAGGACCGATGTCATTTGCAGAGGTACCAGTTCATGGATGCTCCATTTCAACATTATACGTGACTTTTTCTTGATGAGAAAAAGAAAACTCAGTTTTCCAAGCTTCAACGTCAATGTCGCAACAGCTGCAGTTTGTTGAAATTTTAAAGTTCACTAAAGAAATGATGGTAAAAGTCCATTTTATTTGCGTAGTTGAAATACCACTTCCCCCATCAATGGTTTTTACTATAATGCTTTTTTTTTTTCCTTATACCAATGACAGAAAAGTAAATAGTGCCACCGCATTTCTTTTCCTCCAATTTTTCTTTACAAATTGTTCTACGCTCACTGAACGACTTATAATATTTATTTATAAACGACATACAACGCTATTTTGGAGCAGAAGCGGAAGGAATGCTACAAGTGGGGTTGTATCGTTATCGGCTTAGGTAGATTTCTACACATTTGGATACCCAAATTTGACGCTGCATTACATTTTTCGATTATGAACGGACGATAATGTATTTTGTGGTCACCTGACCCAAGTGGAGCTAAAGTTAATTGTTTAAGGTGATATGAAAGGGTCATTCTACATATATAAAACGTGAAAACATTTATAACTTTTCTCCAAACTGGGGGCACCGAATCATTTGAAACTTCAGCACGTGATTATGAAGGCCCTAAAGAAGAACGCGGTGCTCGTGAAATTTCATTTTTCACAAAAAAAAATGTGATCTTGGTTCTAGTCTTGGCTAAATATACACTTTTTTTTCTAATGAAATTTCATGAGCATCACGTTCTTTCTTAGGGCCTTCATTATCACGTACTGAAATTTCCAACGATTCGGTGCATTCAATTAGGAGAAAAGTTATATAAATATTTTAACGTTTTATATATATAGAATGACCCTTTCATACCACCTTAAGGTACCTTTTCATGCGCCGCGGAACGCTTAATTTCAGCATTAGATAGGTCACGTGACTCTAAAACACCGGCGTTAGTTTGTAGTCATGAAAAGCAATGTAACATCAATTTGACAAAATGAGGCGTCGTGATCATCGGGAAGTGTGAAAGTCTCGTGAATAAACTGCGTTAAATAAGCTGACATTTGTTTAAACAAACTATCCGACATAGTATTACGTTAAAATGGACGTACATGAATTAGCATCTATAAGTTGATATGAAAGGGTTATTCTATATAAATATATCAGAACGTCCAAATATTTATAATACTTTTCTCCAAACTGGATGCACCGAATAATGTGAAACTTCAACTCGTAAGAAGGTTTTGAAATTTACGAAATTTCATTTTTCGACAAAAAAATCATTTTTTGATTTTCGAAACATGGAATTTCGCGAGTTTTGAAACCTTTATTAGGACCTTTGTAATCACGTGTTAAAGTTTAAAATCATTCGGTGCACACATTTTGGATAAATGTTTTATATATTTTTTTTTAATATATATATATATGACACTTTCATTACACCTTAATGGCACGGTGGTAAAGGTACCTTAAACCCGATTTTCAAACGAGTTTCGGAAACTAGTCAATTGGAAGCCATCGCAATTAATTCCAGTTGATTTGATTTTCTGTATGCGTAGTTAACGATAACATCAAGCGAGACATCTATCACGGCAACTTCAGGTGTATAAAGTGAAACGTCATTCATCGATCGTATACCATTGTGGTTCCGTAGACATTTGCATACAGGGACTCGTGTAATCCATGTCACATGAACGCACTGATCTATATATTAACTGGGTAGCTGTATCCTACAAAAAGTCGGGGCGTTTTGAAGCGACCGCAGCGCCTCTGGTCATGGGCACGCAAACTAATATCGTAGTATTTGCGCATGCGTCAAAATAACGTGTCATTCAACTGTAGATAGTACAAGAGGGGTCAAATTAATTTACTGGAAGGAAATAATTGTCATTCTTATTGAAATTATTACGAGAAAAAAGATAACCGTTTGCTTTTAGTTGAAGCTTTCTTGCGATATGCCCAACGCATGATTTTACGCGTAAATTATGTCTTTTACCTGTTTAGTACCGCTGCCCACGTGTAGGGGCGCTGGGGAGCCGCGGATTCGTTCCAGTCCTCTCTGTATAGAACAAATAGGCATCAACTATCCAGTTAGTATATAGATCAGTGAATACATGTCACATGAACGCACTGATCTATATATTAACTGGATAGCTAATATCCTACAAATAGTCGGGACGTTTTGAAGCGACCGCAGTGCCTCTGGTCTTGGGCACCCAAACTAATATCGTAGTATTTGCGCATGCGTCAAAATAACGCGTCATTTAACCGTAGATCGTATAAGAGGGGTCAAATTAATTTACTGGAAGGAAATAATTGTCATTTTTATTGAAATTATTACCAGAAAAAAGATAACCGTTTGCTTTTAGTTGAAGCTTTCTTCCGATATGCCCAACGCATGATTTTACGCGTAAATTATGTCTTTTACCTGTTTAGTACCGCTGCCCTCGTGTAGGGGCGCTGGGGTGCCTTGAATTCGCCCAAGATCTCTCCGTATAGAACAAATAGGCATCAGTTATCCACTTAGTATGTAGATTAGTGCATAAACGTCAACGAGGAGTGCTATTCCGAAACCTCATAAGTGCCAAAACCTTTACACCTTCAAAATAGGTGAACCCTGTTCGGCATAGATTACGGTCATGTTGTATAAACGTATAATCGCACGTATAAACTGTAATTTATTTGAAATTATAATAAACCTTCCCGAGGAATTCAGGAGTAAGAATGTAAATCGAAGGTGACAGATAATGTCTGATGACGTAACTGCGTCCCTTTTCAACTGCCCTATAATGTAATCGTATACCTGCAACGATAGGACCAATCGAGATATGAATTTCACCGTGTATATGTTATGAAAAATCGGACTTACATTTTGGAACAGCAATCCTCGTATCGTTTAAGGTGATACGAAAGTGGCGTCGAGGGGTCAATCGTTCATGAAACTGATCTGCAAACAGGTGTACCGACCGGTTTAAAAATTTCATCACGTGGATATGGAGGCTGTATGAACCGGGAATCCAGTTTGAGGCACAAAGAAAATTAACAGGCTTATTTCAATGTTTCTGCCATGTTGAGTTTTGCTTGTGCCATTTCTTTTTACAAAAACCAGAGATGTTAACCCTTTGAACGCGGAGCCATTTCGACATATGGGCGAAATTCCTCTGACCGTGCAGGCAATATTGGACCAAACGTCGGGCGCCTTTAGGCGCTCTTAAGAGCCAAAGGGTTAAAAAAAAAAATAATAAATTCCGAAAATTACCATTTTAACGTTTTTGACGTTCTGGGTAGCTCCGAATTTTCTTAACGTCAGAGAACTCGGAGTCGAAAAATCCAAGTTTCCACGGTTTCGAAATTTGTTTATCTTTTTGAACCGTTTTGGTTTTTATAAAAAGAATCCCAGAAACAGAACTCAACATGACACAAACGTTTAAATTACAGAAACATTCCAATAAGCCTGTTTATTTCGTTTGTGCCTCAAACTGGATTCCAGGTTCACACAGCCGAATATGGAGGCCCTTGGTCCTTGATATTTTTTATTGTGGATCTTGACCCCCATGATACTTCATTTTTTATTAAAACTCAAGACTAAAATGAAGGAAAATCGAGGGTCCGATACTTTGGTAGGGACTGCAAGGTTAAAATCTCACATAGAATTACGTGGTCTGAAACGTCTATTGGTTGGAATAATCACTTTTTACTATTAATTTGTGTAGGCCTGTCAGCCGAATACAAATGGTTTTATTAAGCGTTAACACTAAGAACGCTCACTTTTGTGTGACGTCACTTACTCGTTTTGACAAACGTTTCGATCTTCACTAATAAATCGTCCAGGATTTGAAACAAACCGATTGGCGAGGAGACGTTTCCTTTTTAATAAATATACGGGAAAAAGTGTTACGCAGCCACTCCATTACCGTCGCAGGGATATGAATTACTTCCATTTTTGTTCTTCCTCTTTAAAATAATACACTGTTTTATCTTGTATCATTTTTAAGGCTCGCGCACATTATTTCGGGCGGATCGCAACGAATTGCATTGCAGAAATCCTCACGGGATTTATTTCATAGATTTTATATGGACTATCGCATATTACAGACGGGGCCCAGCGGAACGCATCGACGGATTTTTGCGCGGGACCGCTGCGATCCGTCGAAGTGCGCAATAGATCTGCGCAGTACCGCACGCAGCGCGCGAGGGCGCGAGTTTTGAATTTGCAGGTACCTGACACCCATGAAATATCATTTCTTGTCACACTTTAACCCTTTGCACTCGAAGCAATTTGGCTATACGCAGGTAGTGAACTCCAAGACTTGGCCTTAGGAGTGAAAAGGGTTAAGGAATGTTTACAAATTTTAAAAACAATGAAATTTCACGGGTATTCGGGCCTTCCTTGGGGCCTCTAGATTCAGGTAATAAAATGTCAAACGATCCGATACACCCCCAAGGAACGTATCCCAGGTCGATCTCTTCGATTTGATTTCTTTTATATGTTATAGTAGACTAAAAACTAAGCGACACATATTTTTTTTATCTGCCATTAAACACTTTAAGGGGGTGAAACCCCCATCCAAAGTAAGGCATGTCAAGGGACGATTTGGCAGTTTCACCAACAAGAACATACTATTTTTTAACCAATCCACTTGGAAAAGAAAAATATAACAAGAAATGAAAAATATAATTTTCTCAATTGAAAAAAAAATGAAGGGGTGAAACCACTAGCCAAGGTAAGACCTGTGAGAGGTGGCTCACCCCTTAATTTTTTTTTAAAAGCTTTCTCATAACGAGAAATGAAAAATATAATTTTCTCAATTAAAAAAAAATTAAGGGGTGAAACCACTATCCAAGGTAAGGCTTGTGAGGGGTGGCTCACCCCTTAATTTTTTTTTTTTTCAATTGAGAAAA